AAAAACAGAACAAGCGCACATAAGTCTAACGATAACAACACATGCGGCCGAATGTGAACTCAAGACGCGAACATAAAAGCAAGCCCAACAGCATTTGTAATAATTCACTGAGGTATGACACAGGAGCAATAACACATACAGGATTGAGTCATTGAACTCCCGAAAGACGCATACAACATTTCATAACATGAATGAAACGGCCAACAAACCAAATAAGCATGTGAACCGAAGGACAGCTTACATCAACAGAAGATTACCACGAAATAAATGGTTACCCGCATACATTTCAAACTGTAAAAGAGAAAGAATGATAAGAATAGCGCATACCATCACAGATAATCTTGCACGGCATTTGTGAACGCATGAACTGATGATAGGCCGACTATGTCACATGGAAGCTCGTTCCATTCGGCTATCGTTCGAGGAAAAAACAAAAATCGATACACCTTCGTCTTAACTCGTGCCCTTACAATCGTCTTACTGTGCTTCCATCTTGTTGGCCTTGCGCTGTTATACTGCATGTAATCAGTGGAGCTCATTCTAATGTTACCGTTTACAATGTTGTAAAGCATTTGCAGTCGATGCAGTTTCCTGCGTGATTCTAGCGTTGGAAGTTCGCTTAAATGTCTGAGGTTAGTAATGGACACGTGCCTGCCGTAAGAGTTGAAGATGAATCTTAGCGCTTTTTTTTGAACGCGTTCAATGCAATCGATGTCACATTTGGTGTGCGGGTCCCAAACTACGTCCGCATATTCTAATAGCAGTCTAACTAATGTCGTGTAGGCCACAAGTTTAGTTTTAGTAGTGCAATGCATCATGCGATTTCTTAGCATGTAAAGTTTTCTCAAAGCCTTGGAAACAATGAATTGCACATGACCACTCCAGCTTAGCGTAGAACTGATATGCAAACCCAAGTATTTAAATTGATCTACTGAAGCTAATGGAACATTATTGATGCTATAGATGCAAACCAGCGGCTCCTTCTTGCGTGTAACACTCATCTGAACACACTTGCAAACGTTTAGGCGCATCTGCCATTTTGAGCACCAGTTGCTAACAGCTGTTAAGAAGTTGTTTAGTATTTGTTGATCTTTCACTGACTGAATGTGCATGTATGCAACGCAGTCGTCTGCAAATAAACGGCAACATACTGGTGATGTAATCTGTAAATCATTCATATAGATTAAAAAGAGTAACGGGCCGAGCACCGAACCCTGAGGAACGCCTCAAAGAACAGATGCAAGTTCTGAGTCCGAATTGCCTATGTGAACAAACTGCCTACGCCGTGTAAGATACGAGTTGAGCCACTGTAGTATCCGAGGATTGTCAAAAAGGCATCGGATCTTTAACAATAAATGTCGGTGTGACACACGGTCAAAGGATTTTTCAAAATCAAGAAAAACCATGTCAATATGTCCGCCCTTGTCAAGCATTACCATTAGATCATTTACAGTGTGAATAAGTTGTGTCGTAGTGGACAAAGCACGCCGAAAACCATGCTGACTACTTAAAAATAATTGTTGTCCTCTAAGAAAGAACAGACATGCTTAAATATGAAAGGTTCCAAAACCTTGCTACAAGTGCACAGTAGCGAAACTGGTCTGTAGTTGATTACTTTAAGTTTGTCACCAGTCTTATAAATAGGCACCACTTTTCCAATTTTCCATTCTAAAGGTATTTCCGCTGTCCGTATACTTTCTTTAAAGATAATGTTCAGATACTTCACGCACCATTCGGCGTATCTGCGCAGGAACATATTTGGTATGCCATCCGGGCCGATAGATTTTTTAGTGTCTAATTTGAGTAGCGCCGAAAAAATGCCGCTTTCGTTGATTTCTATATCCGGGATAGCATAACTAGTTTTCGGATATGACGAGGGCTGAACGATGGCGCGAGAAAACACAGATGAAAAGTAGTCATTAAATGTATTGGCTATACACTTACTGTCATCGGTGATAGTGTCATCAAGTTTCATTTTGCTAATAGCCTCATTCTTATTCTTTAGATGCCACCAGAACTTTCTTGGGTCATTTGCCAAAAAATGATGCATTTTGACGTTGAAGAAATGGAACTTGGCAAGCTTTATCTTTGTGCGCAATTTATCTCGGAGTAACTGTAGGGACACCGCCCCTCTGTTCCCGGCTGAGCGATGTAATCGCTTGACACGGCGTTTCAACTGTAACATTTCGCGAGTGACCCAGGGATTCCGCCGACTACACTTTTTTTGTCTAGTGGGGACATAATTGCTAATGCATTTATTAACAACAGCCTTGAAATGAATCCACAAATCTTGGACAGTAGAGTTTCCAGTAGCATAAATATGCTGCAAAATATCAAAATCTTCTTCCAAAAGGTCTAGTACACTCTCATCTTGAGCACAGTTAAAATCAGGGAATTGTTTAGTGACGTTTTCGCCCTTTATCCTCGAGACTCGCATACGACCAGCAAAAAGGACGATGTCGTGATCGGATAGCCCAGGCAAATATGACATGTCATAGCCTACAGCACTAATATTTTCCGAAACGAAAAAAAGATCAAGAACTGTGCTAGAACTAGCTGATACACGCGTAGGCTGATCCACAGAGAGAGGTTTCTAGAGAGGTTTCTGGCTTTGAATTTTGCACGTGTTAAATTCACACTGATGTGTATCACATAATTTCAACTTTTTGTAATCAATACATTATTACCGCGTCATTACCAATTTGATGGTTCAGTAATGATTACAATTTCCTTATAACCAATGTGTTTGTTATTTCTTGTGTTTTTCAATAATAAGTACTACTGAGTTTCTTGCCTATGAAAAAGGCCATTTAGTGTTTTTTATATTGCCATTGCGGACCCATTAACAAATTTGCTGGGTCTCTAATAGTGTATTTGCATATACCAAAGAAAAGACAAATTAAACTTCACACTTCAATTTCAACTTCTACATGGAGCTGCTATGTGAGATATAGGCACCAATCGGTGGTAATGCCCAAAAAGAGAAGCTTGTCTAGATCACGTGACCATTGGTCAGTGGCAGCACCATGTCGTCTTATTGAGGCGTTAAAAACATTCGCTTTTTTCCAGCAAAGTGTCGCACTGTCAGCAAAGCGAAAGAGACACTAAGGTCTTTAGGTCTACGTATCATCAACAAAAGTATCATCAACGAAAGCTGCATATATAAAATTTTGCTCCGCGACAACACATGTCTTCGATGGAGGCGGATATGTTGTAGGCCCGTGTGCTCAGAGTTGGGTGCACGTTATAGAACCCCAGGTGGTCGAAATTTCCGGAGCCCTCCACTACAGCGTCTCTCATAATCACATGCTGCTATTGGGACGTTAAACCCCAGATATCAACCATCAACAACAGATGTCAGGGACGCTATCCACTGTGCCAAGGGAGACGTTCTAATTGTTTCGTAAGCGCAACATTCCTGTCTCGCACTTCGCTCTCACAGTGCTCTTGGCCGGTGGCCTAGTGTTGCCGCCTGTTAGCTGTAAGGCAACACATCATTACTTCACTTACTACTATATCTTCATTATTATGACCTCCACGCTTAGCTTTTGTAGTGCGCCTCTCCTATGCGCGAGTTCGATTCAGTGTTTCTGATAATATAATTGCAATTTTGTGAACGCGTTAACCGCACTAGAGGGGTTGATAGTGGAGGCTTTCCTAATATTGTTCATCCACAGCTCTGCGCTATGAATAAGTTGGCATGTTATCTACAATAAAAGTCATCCTGAAATGAGATAAAGAAAAACCAGCGCTGTAATTTCGAAAAACAAACAAGAAGACTGCAAAGGCAAGCGCTTGTCATCGTCAGTCTTCGTGTGTGCTTTTTGAAATTTCCGCGCTGGTTTTTACTTTTTTGCACTATGTACCAACTCTCCCGAACCTTAACCTTAGCTGAAATACCGTCTGCACAGGCTAACGGGACATAGAAAAAGGACACAATCATGCGCATCGTCATCAGTACTATCATATATTGAGTTCTAATAAGAATATTAGCACGACGTTACATCAATAGCACTCGGTAATGCCAGTTCTGATTGTGTCATCCGTGCACTAATTGTGGGATGATCAGGCCTAACGTACTGATAAATGACTACAGAGATGAAATTATTATTGGGGGATTATGAGAGCTTCATATAGTCGACAATAATTGTCAAAGTATTGTTAATGGTTCACGTATGTAACACATGCGATTGTTCTCTTTTTGGGGAGATGGGCCTGGTACTGGCTGGCCAATATTGAATCTGGGATGAGTTCTTTCTTCGACTAGGAGTAATTAGTGGTTGATTTTAAACTGATTCTGAACCTTCCTGAGAGGCTAAGTCTAAGATAGTTGGTAGAGTGACATTATGAAACTGGTAACCTCACTAAACGATTGATTGATATGTGGGGTTTAACGTCCCAAAACCACTATATGATTATGAGAGACGCCGTAGTGGAGGGCTCCGGAAATTTAGACCACCTGGGGTTCTTTAACGTGCACCCAAATCTGAGCACACGGGCCTAACCTCACCTAAACGCGAACAAGATGATGACGCACAGAGCCTCCAGTGTACGCTGTTCATGTACCGGATGGTTTGCACTGCTGCAAAGAACCTTATGAAGGCTGACGATAAGACGAGACACGGTACTACACAATTCAAGACCAGTGCCTTCAAAACCAATACCTCGTCGAACAAACCATGTGTTCTCTGTTAAAGAATAAAATGAGCGTAGGTGCTCGCAAAGTGAACAGCTGTTGACTCAAGTAAATCTTACCGTGTGCTTTTTTGATTGCGAATGTTCCGCTCAAGTTCAAAGGCGGAATGCGTTCTTATTTTTTTTTCTTCTGTGTGTGTCAGCGTCTAATAAACTACAAATGCATGCGGCACTAAGCTATTGGGGAAAACATATTTTACTAACAAATTGTCGTTGCATATTTTGCTTGTGCAGGTAACACTCCTGGCCTACCGGCTTAAGTCTGGTGACGTCCGGGAGTAGCGGCACCAGAGGTGCCGTACCACATCATCATCACGCTGAGTATACTGGCAATAGCAGTGTGCCTAGGCGTGCTCATCGTCGCAACGGCAGTTGGCAACGCACTTGTCTGCCTCTCCGTCTGCCTCGTGCGCCGCCTACGGCACCCCTCCAATCACCTTCTCGTTTCGCTAGCAGCATCTGATCTGTGCGTGGCACTGTTGGTCATGCCACCAGCCCTGCACCTGGAACTTACGGGTCACCGGTGGGACCTCGGTCGTGCCGCCTGCGATGCCTGGGTGTCTGTAGACGTGGCGTCCTGCACTGCGTCCATCCTGAACTTGTGCATGATATCTGTAGACCGCTATCTAGCAATAACTAGGCCGTTGACATATGGAGTGCGAAGAACTGCACGAAGAGCGTGGGCATGTATCGGTGCGGTCTGGCTTCTGGCAGCTCTCATCAGTGTACCACCTCTTCTCGTTCTGGGAAACGAGCATGGGACACCCACTATGCCCACATGCCTCGTCTGTCAGCACTTGGCATACCAGCTCTATGCGACGCTGGGAGCATTTTACATACCCCTCGTTGTCATGCTCTCCATGTACTGGAGGATTCACACTGCTGCCAAGAAAGTCGTCGAAGCAGAACATAAAGCGAGGCCTGGTCCCCGCACCAGGAGTCTAAGGGTCGCCGTAAGAGAGCGCAAAGCCTCTATAACATTAGGAATAATCCTGACCGCCTTCACAGTCTGTTGGTTGCCTTTTTTCGCTTTGGCGTTGGTTAGGCCCCTCGGAGGAAAGCCGCTTCCTGAGCTGGCCCACAGCCTGGCTCTCTGGCTTGGTTATACTAACTCAGCACTGAATCCTGTCATCTACGTGACATTTCATCACGACTTCCGTCGAGCATTTCGTGACCTGTTGTGCTTGCGCTGTGGCAGGCGAGGAATTAATAATGGTGCAATTGTCGGTGGAAGTGCGTATGGGCCTGGACAAATTTTCGGGCGAAAAAACAACAATCACCGTTCGTGGGCCTGACCCTGGCGGACGTCGCCTGGAGACATTCGCGTCTCCAGAGTCGACGTTATTTGTGAGCACAACGAGATGGACAAGCATATTCAGCAGGAGAAACAACAAAACCAAGCGAGTCAAATATGTGATTCAATGGCTTCTCCTATTGGAACAATGTTTCCTTAATCATTTCTGTGAAGGACAGTTTGTAATGACCCCTTTGAAAATTGATCGCGACAAGATTGACTGAGGTAACGTTTGCACGCACATGCTACAGAGCAGCAGCCATCACCATAAAAGTGTAACAGTGGTAAATGGAAGAATGTTGCACTTCAGATGTACCACAATAAATTAGTGTTCTACTCATCAAGGCCATACAGAGATTGCCTCAGAAGACCTAATAAAGCGCAGGAACATTTCGAATGTTCAACACAACTAACGGCTTCTACAGTGTGGTGTGTTTTGTTATAGTTGCGCAATAAAGGAGAACAATCTCCAATACGAGACGACAACATGAAAGATAAGCATGTGTGGTGATAAGTGACGTTTATTTCAACTGCTATTCACGCCGCTTAAAAGTGCTGCCATGTGTTTGAGGTGCCTCATTAAGTCAGAGCAGGAGAAAAAAGGATCACCGTCTAAGTCTATTATTAATCACTTGCTATCATTGTTTTTCAGCTTATCCTGGAACATTTTGTGCATCTCTGGTGACGATACGTGAACTGGTGTGCCAAAATAGACACAATGATGAAGGTCTTTCTGAGAAACGTAATACTGAACTGATGTGATAACTCGAAACTTGCGAGCCATGACTTTTGAACTGCACCCTACCAAGAGCTTCATGTCATTGAGAAAATTTACTCGGTCATATATACTGTGTGTTTTTGCTTCTACAAGCGTGCTGTACTTACTTCTTTCTTCAGGTTATGGACCAAGACGACTTGTTAGCACTGGTGAGTAGCATTCACTGAAAGCTTCACATGAACGTCTCTTCAGCAATGTATTAAATAATCCTGTCCAGAGTACCGTGTAAACCTATGGTCACAAACGAAGTTCGTTTCTACAGGTGTACATTTTCGATTGCAACTGCAACGACGGTAACAGTGTCTAGTGTTTTCATTCAATAGAAGATAATGTTCATGTTAACTCTGACATCTAGATTAAATTTAACAGGTGTTATCTGAAACAAAACAATTCCCACAGTTCCAAATTGTGTTTATTTAATCATGAGATTAAAATGCAACTATAGCACATTTTAGCAGTTTTAGGGACATTTTAGGAGGACATATCACAAAAAAGTACACATTTATGTAACATGACTGTGGTCAAGCGTGCAGCACTCATACAACGACACTGCAGAAAAGCAATCTGAAAACTTAACTTTATAAATGCAACGGCGTTGCAGAACAGCAATCTGTACAAAGCGAAACAAACTGGAATTTTCGCAATACTACAAATAAAATAACGTGACCTTGGGATCTCAAGACACTAAAATTAAGTGCATCAAAATAAATGATGGAGAATTTCAATTATGCACCAATATTTTATTGTCATCACTGTCCGTGAAGACTGCTCTAGCGTTATGTTGTCTTATGTTGGGATAATGGTGCTCGTGGTTTCAAGCCGTGGACGGTGAAATGTCGAACTAAGCCCTCGAAGTAAACGCAAGCGGTATTTAATTTAGGTGAATTGTTTGAAATGTTAATGTTAATAATAAATGCACAGAGCCTTTACTTCACCAAGCAGCAAGAATAAAATATGATAACAAAATTACTTGACTCCAAACTCATTTAACAGCAGGGCTAAACCATTACTTGAAAAACCTAATAATGTGCAGCTGGACATGAAGTGTGGACGACTGGATAAACTTACTATATGCAATACTTAGCTTGAGAATGACTTCTGTAAATTCACAGCACACAAAAAAGTGGCTAAAATGTTTTACCAGGTATGTGATTCCTTTCTGAGAAAAATGTGGAAGCAATTTTAGAATACTTCACGCACAGCAACAATTTTGCTTTATAGTTGTCTGCTGAATATTTGAAAGTGGCACTTCAAAATCGTAACTACTTTGTATTCACTATCGACAAAAAAAAAGCTTTCAAACATTGTAGGTTTACAATGGTAGCACAAAAAGAAGACAGCGAACAGGAGAAAAACTTCCGAACCAAATTTCACACAATTTCATTCTATCAGCAACTGCACACTACAATGCGCGCATGCGGAAAACTTATTTTTTTGCTATACGAGACTCATATATAATAATTCAAGCAATATTACATTCGCAATAAAGACTTTCCAGAGGTGATAGCTGTGACGGTTTCCTCCTAATATTTGAGCCAGCGACAGCTTAATATCTCGTAGAAATTATTGTAAGCAAAAAATGTCACAGCAAATTCACTCGCAAATCCTTGTACACAGTACCTTGTCATTGTTGTGTTAGCAGATAGTTAATTAGACTCTTGTATTATTGTTTTTGTTGCAAATTTGTGTGCTCTGAAACATTGATCTTGGACGCCAGAAAAAAGTCTTTAGAACGTCAGACAGCATCGACATTCTTGAGCGATGCTATATTAGAAGCCACGATATCGGAACTGGCTGCTGTTGCAGACTTGCGAACATTATACCTCTTCTTTGGTATCAGAGCGTTACTGTTATTGATACTGAATATTTGTTAACTTGACTACGGCACTTACAAATACCAATGTTTGTAAAATGTACAAAACTAAAATACTTGACTGAATGCGAACTTGGTTTCTTTGTGTCTATATGAAATAAATATTTTGGTCAATAACCGTGCTTGTGGCCGAGGATCAACATCGATTTCTACACATGAAGAGTTGAATTGCAGCCAAGAATTCTCAAACAACATCTACAACTTGCAGAATAATCACCATCTTAGGCCCCAGAAGCAAGAGGAGCTGCTGTTACAGCTGCACAGTCGTGCAGTTGGGGGTCTGACACTTTCTGCCATACCCTTTTCAGTGATTGCGTTCTCATTTGGTCTATGTGGCCATTGTAGCTACATGACATTTTGAGTGCTGTCAATGTATATTGCTAACCTACGATTGAGATGCAAGCATTGAAGTGAAGGTGTTAATTTAAATTACATATTTCGCTCTGAATCAGCAATGCAAAGCTTTAGGTTTGATGATTTTGCATAAGGAGAAACCGCGCCACATGTTGTGTGACAAACTTTTGTTGTATCATCCGTTCTAAAGAGTGCGAGTGAGGGCCGCTGTATGCGACGAGGGGGCTTCAGAAAGTGGCAACTTCGGCTGCCCTGGTGAACCCTCCTTGCCACACATGACTGTGAAATTGACGATGCTTGTCCCAGCTACGTCAGTTCCCGCAGCGCCTGTGCTTTAACCATGAGCGAGGGTTGTTAAGGGGTTTTCACATCAACCGAAAAGTGCAAAGTTGTCTTATTTAGGGTGCATCTTTTTGCACACGTAAAAATGTTATTTAGAAGTTATATTTGCGAATGTACACTCGTGATTATGATTAGTTGCTTCTTAAAAAGAGTTGTCTTCGCATTGATAATAGTTGTAGTATAGTGAGCACAAGACTTTATATAATGGCGTCTGATTACTTTGAAGCGAATACAATGAATCAAACACATACAATAAAAAGTAATGGTTTAGACAATGCTGATTTCAAGTAATGAGAGTGTGTTAAGTAATGCGACTTCAGTTTCAAGTTTTTTCCAGTCACCATTAGTTCTAGAGATGAATAAATACTCGTCGTAGTTATTTAGTGCATTCAGAGAAATAATTCCGTTGCTTTTTTCGCTTGCGAATGACGTTACCGAAAGATCCTGAAAGATGCCTGTAGTGCTAACATTTATATTTATTTGCATATGGCCATTTAATAACTAAAAAAACCTAAGGCAGCAAATGATGTTTCTGTCCCTAACAAGTTGTAGGCCACTTTCTATGAGTAGCTGATAGATCGATGTTCTCCCGTAGGAGTTGTAAATAAAACAAAAGTTTTTATTTTGAACTTTCTCGAGGTAACTAATGTTGAGTTTAATGAATGCGTCGCACATCATCACAGCATACTCGAACATTGGCCTAATTAGTGTTTTATATTCTAGCGTCAGTACAGCCGGAGTATAATACTGCAAGTTTCGTATTAGAAATGACACAGTGGGGCTTGAACACGGGTCAGCTGGGTGCCAGCCTAATATTCTACCACTGAGTTACGCCAGTGCTTGTAATTTGTTGCCAAACTTGCCTTAGGCATGGATGACCTATAACTAATGGCATAGTGGGGCTCGAACCCGGGTCCGACGGGTGCCAATGCCAGCCCAGTATTCTACCACTGACCTACACTAGTGCATATGACTTGTTATCAAACTTGCCTTAGGCAGGCTTGATGGCAGGAAAGCAATCGTGGTAATACGACTTTAAAGCGTTTTACAACAGTTAAAGAACAACCAGTTGTCGCACAATGCGAATAACGTAACGAGTAGGCCATCCAATGCTCCAAACCATCACAAAAGCTTGTTCTTGTTTCCCTGTTAAATGTGGCGCATATACCCACTTCAGGCATAATTGATCATCGTCGTCAGCCACTGCATGAACAACTGGCACAAAATTCCTTGCAAGTGTTTTGCGGATACCACGCTTCTCAGAAGAATAAAAAAATAGTATAGCGAGTGCCAGCCTACCACCTAAAAGTTAATTATTAATGCCCTCGTGGGTACCGGGCAAGTGTGCTTGCAATAGTTACCCAAAGAGTGTTTTTTAAAAGGCTCTGAAAGACTGCTCTTCTAGCTTTTGCTGTGACTGTGCTACGCCTACCGCGCTGGCCTGGCATTTTTTCTTTAGAGTTATTTTATACAGACCGCCTCTTGTAGTTACTTGCCACCAAGAAGCTACTTTTTTGAATGAATTATTTAGGTTATGCTGATCTGAAACAGATGGTACTTTCTTGTATAACACAAAATAATCAGCGCAAAGCTTAACATATACAGAAAAGTAGGTGATTATGTTATTTATAAGTAAAATAAATAAAAGAGGTCCGAAGACCAAGCCTTCAGTTGCGCCGAAAACCTTAGGAAGTTTACGAGAAGTGCTGTCATTAGGTGCAACAAACTGTTGTCCGTTTAAAAGGTATGCTTGCTATCTTGATATCAGTTTTAAATTTTTGAATATACATTGTAATTTACAAAACAATTTTAAATGAGAAACTTCCTTGAAGGCCTTTGGAAGTTCATAAATAGAACATCCAGCTGTTCACCTTCATTTATTGTGCTATAAAAATTATGGATGATTACAACCATCTGTGTAGTGGTTGAATATCCACGTCGAAACCCGCGCTACGCTCATGTAAGTGGTCGGTGTTCACCAAAAAATAGAATGTGTATATGGACTATGTGCTCCTAACCTTTACAAGCTATCGAAGTTAGCGAAGCTATTGAAATTGACTTGACAGTTACATAAATTTTTGAAGAGATCCTTCATGATAAATTGTAACAGTTTCCAAAGTCAATTTGAAGCAGGCTGCTGAACAGATACCTTATGGACGTTGTTGTGGCAGCCACGGACATACTATCAACATAACTGTCAGGTTTTGTGTAGATGTACAGCGTTCATTTACACTCTCACTAGACAGCAACAAGTCAAGGCTAACATAAAAGAAGCAATGAAACAGCGAAGACTGGATGGAATAGCACATGAAAGTGTTTAATGTATTTTGCAATAGACGCTGTTTCGTTATACCCGAAAGCAGGCATATAAGACAACCATGTCTTTTCTAACATGTGCGATCAATTTCTGGTTGGAACGAACGAACGCATTTCTAAACGAACACCGCACCGAGAGAGAATTTATTGACCGAAAGGCGTACAGGGGGGCCTGAGCAAGGGTTTGCTCTGGCCTGCTACTCAACAGAGGAGGAGGGTAACAGGGAGCGAAACTAGTGATGAATGACGATGGCAAGGTAGAAAAATGATAATATGGATTTTTTCTCTCGGGGTAGTTCTAAATACGTTCATTCCCGCTTCAGTGGTTTGTAAGAATGCTACGACGGCTCCTATACATAGGAATACATAAGAATTGGTGCTGCTGGCGTTAGGTCAAAGACCTAACACCTACATGATCGGTGAGTGGTCTATTATTATATCATGCATTTGAAGAGATGAGCTGCTGACGTTCTGTTGCGCACGCTGGACAGGTGCAAAATATGTGTTCCAGCGTTTTGGACAACAGACAGTGGCCACAGTCGGGACCTGAGTCACTACAGCCAACAAAGAGCAGTGTAACGTCTCGTGTAACCTACGCTCAAATTAATGCGGTGAATAATGCATGGGATGCTGCGAAATCATTTGAATCCGGTAACTCAGCCTGTTTTTTTTTAATTTGTCGTCGTATTTATTGGCCTTTTCCTCAAAAATATACCTATTTTCTTGCTTAGTAGTTATTGTCCCTTAGTCTATCATGATGTGTACTTGACGGGTAGTTTCAAGTGAAGAGCGAGAACACTATAATACTTGAAGGGCATTTCGCAACCTCCGGCTACGGTACTTGGAGTTGTAGTGTATCTCTACTGCAGAATCGCGGGGTCGTTGCGTTAATGAATTTCGTGCTCTTCAAAGGTTTTACATTTTTTGGAGCTGGTGCTCTCATTGCAGGGGAAAACTTAAGTCAACGTATTCAGGTTTGTGCTGCGGAAATAGCTTCCAAGAGATATTCAAGCATCGTTTTCACCCGTGCTTCAGGTAAGTGTTTTATTATCTCTTAGTTTCCACCTTTCCTACTTCATGAAAAGATATTTCTGTTCGAATTGCGTGGTCCACGAGACATAAAGTGGAAGCGAAGTCTAACAACCGCAGAATAACAGCAAGATTTATTGAAATATGAAACAAGGCTTTTTAACATTGTCGATTGATATGACACCTCCCCTTATAGGAGCTAAGAAAGAGCCATTTAAAGCCATGAAATAAGCAGGATAAGCAGCCAAAAGACATCGCAAAGACAAGTGGCAGGCTTTAAAAACACAACACAAACATTGGGAAAACATGATGTGAATGAAAACAATCTTGTCAGCTTGAAGAAAACAGTGCCGTGCATCAGTGACGTTGTCTTTATCCACCAGGAAGTCACAGAATGATACATTGTTATCTTTCCACTACGGTGCGAGGGATCGCAACACTGCAATGGTCCCTGAACACCTCTTTTTCTGATTTTCGGGTTCGCACGTGTGGCATGGCGAAAAAAAATTACCCCTGCGAACAAACACAATGCGGTCACATGTCTCCTTTTAAGGTTGACCCTGTTGGCGCCGTTTCCATGCGCGGTCACTAGGTGGTGAGCGCTCAGTTGAATTCGCGAATAGCTGACAAACAGTGCGCTTATTTTTGCTCCACGTGCACGTAACCACCTCTGCCTTTGCAGTTTCTTCAGGGATAATGTATACCATAGAGCTGCTGAAAGTTTCGCACGACTCTACGCTTGTTTATTTCGGTATCATCACCACGAAACAAAAGTTTTAGGAAAAAAGAGAGTCCTGGTGTGTGTTTTTATTTTTGTACTTGTGATACCACCATTTGGCATCAGCAGATACCTTTTTGTCTGTGCAACTCATTAATGCACTGATGACATTAAAGCACTGACATTAAAGCACATGATGTAAATACAATATTAAGAACGACAAAACGTGAATTATGCCTGTCTACCTGGTTCACAGACAAAACAAAGGAATCGAATCCTTTATCTGTTGCTATTATTTTGAATACCAATCAGACCATGACCTCCCAAGACGTATCGACACACTCATACATCGCCTATGACTCGGAACTGCTTATACAAAGCACTTCCTATTGCGTATACAGCGTCCTATATCGTCTGCATGTTCATGCGGCCAAGACGACGAGGATATCTGTCACCTGTTGCTCGACGGTCCGAAACATGACACACACCGAAGGCAACTAGAACATGAACTTCATAAGTTAGATCCCGAGCAGCCATTTGCGTTGAATAAAATACTGTACCCGTGGCCATCCAAATTAAATGGCAAAGCATTGAAGGTGCTGCAACAATTTTTCGAAGAAACGAAGATTTGTGAAGACCACTGAGCGGACAAAAGTTAAAAGTTAGTGTGGCGTCTACGTGTTTATTGTGCCCTTAGGAGAACATTTGCTCTCGCCGATGTAGGATTTGAAAGTTAACATTCGACCGAAGTCTGTCTAGTTGGGTATGAAACGGGGAGGTGATTTCAATTCCAACCAAAACCAAAAGTTTTGAAGTAACCTGACGTTTGTAAACTGACTTGGTTCCTTCCACAGGGGTGAGTGCGGAGACTACGTAGTAGCGGCTTTTTCAAAGCACTCGTGGAGTGGATAATGACCCCCCCCCCCCCCGCACTCTTGCTCGTTTTGCCGTGGAGCGCAGACCCTGTGTATACACAGGTGGAAGGAGTTTCCGAGAGAGCGGTTGATGTTATGGGTTGTCCTCTGTATGTGCCACGACTCGAATAATAACCTTCTCCTGCAGTTCGGCTCCACTTTCAAAGATGGCCGTCACTTTGAAATTCATCCGGTGATCCAACGTCTCAGCATGTTCGGCAACAGCTCTGCGCTCTTTGTAGAGCTTCCGCGCATCGTTGGTGTGCTTTTTGCTTCAGTCGTTCTGGTAGGTTTTTCGTCTCGCCGATATACGAAAAGGGGCACTCGGCGCATGGAAGTTTGTATATGACACCAGGGGTTCTGTCAATGTTGGCTGGTCTTTCGGGCGGGGAGAAGGCATCCCAGCGTACACGACGGCATGTGTGCGATGCGAACCTCTTTTTTGAAGATCCGCGCCAACATCCTGCTGGTTCCCTGAACGTATGGGACCGGCACGCGTTTCGGGGGGCTGCCAATCAAGGTTCTTTGCAATTTTCGTATCCTTTGTTGCTCTGCGCGGTGGGTGGTAGCTCGAAATAAATTTTTTGTGTATCCGCTTTTTCTAAGGTTCGTAATTACGCGGGCCTCTTCTTTGTTTCGCTCTATGTCATTGAAGCATAAGATCTTAGGTCTCTAGAGTAGCGTGGCCACAACCTGAGGCTTTGCGGCAGGTGGGCTGGGAAGAATCAAATTTAAGGTAGCGGGCAGTGTGCGTTGGCTTCCTTTAAACAGAGAACTCTAGACCGTTGCGTTTTATTGCCACCTGGACGTCGAGAAAGGGCAGGCAGTGGTCGCTTTCACACTCGGTCGTTGTTAAATCGAAAAATGCCACTTTTAAGGTTACCGTTGACAAAAGGTGAATCGACCACTAGGTGTACGTACACGACGCAGCATAAGTCCCAGCAGGATCATTAACACAATAGCTGCCACGAAGCTGGAATATACGATCACCCAGCCAGCCCACTGTGTCACGTGCCGCATCAACAACAAAGCTATATGTATTATTCACAAACATAAGAAGCTTGATTCGAAAGCGCATTGAATTATGCTCCTATCTAGATAAAAGTGAAAGCGACATTCTACTTCTAACTGAAAGCTCGTTTCATAGTGGCAATATTAACTGAAAAGTGCTCAATGACACTGACTAGTATGTCATATGCAGTAAAGACCGCGATATAAAAAGAGGCGGGGCGTGCTCATCGCGGTCAAAAAAGCACATTTCTAGTTTTCTTGTTGATGTAAGCAGTCTATAGGAAAATCTGTGGATCTGTATTGCCTTCTTTTTTCTAAGTCAGTCTTAGGGGTATGCTACAGGCCACCAGACACTTGTGATTCCTTTGTCTCTGATCTTCATACTAACCTTACCTTCATTACACAAATGATCCCTAATTCTGTTATAAACTTTTTTGGTGATTGCATTTTTCCCGACGCTCATTCGGTCAACCTAACGTAAGGCTGAAGCAGCACTCACAAATTCATTAACCTAGTTTTCAATTTCTCGCTCACGCAGCTTGTTAATCAAGCCACACGTGAAGAGAACATGTTTACCTGATATTTACATCTGCTCGTGGTAACCTCAGATTATCATCTTTTAACTCTGGTTTTAGTAACCCCTTGCTTCCGTCCGCTGCGTTTGCGGCATCTGTATGTTCACGTAACGTACTACAGTAACATATAATATCACTCGCAAATTCAACTACAATAAAGCCAACTTTGAAGCTATTAACAATGACATTGAAGCGTTTTGTGAAAAATTTACTTTTCTTAAGCTATTAATCATGCTATTAAATTTTTCTTAGGCTATTAGTTATGCTCCACATTGTAAACTAATATCTAAACTATCATCCCTAAATCTAGGCTCCTTGGCATTATCCTGGATCAGAAACTTTCTTTTATTATGTAAACAGTATACTGTTGCAAGTACAACTTTATCTCTTCAAACAGATGGAACCCCCGGCATTCCCCAAGGTAGTGCTCTGTGTCTCTTGTTATTTTTAATCTACATCAATGACCTACCATCCCATATCTCTTCTAACAAGCGGCTCTTCGCTGTCAATTGTGCCATCTACCGTAAAAAAACTTCAACATCAGATTACCTCGCTCTTCAGGCAGACCTAGATTTCATAAATAATTGGTGCTTTCACTGGCAAATGTCACTTAATGCTAATGGATGCAAGCTCATCACCTTTAGCCGCAATAAATAATTTTCTCTTTTTTAGTATACTCTTACCACTTGTGTCATCAAGCGCACATCTTCTTAAAGTACTTGCAATGCATATTTCACCCTGACTCTAATGGTCCTCGCATATACAGGAAATTTCAGCGCAAGCAATCCGCACTCTTGGTTATCTGAAACGTAACCCACAACGCTTTAACATCGACCAAATGACTTGAATATCTAACCTTCGTTCGTTCTCAACTTGAATTCGCCTCATCAGTTTTGCCACCTCATCAAGCCTATACCTAATGATGCCCTCGAACGTGTTTAAAACCAAGCCGTGTGCTCCATTTCTGAAGATTACAACCGACATTCTAGTATCACTCACATTGAACTATTACTATCATCGCCTCCCTAAGGTTCTTGCATAAAGATCTCCTTGATCGGACTGTTTCTTAAAATAGCCTCCGGTAAGCACGACGCCACTCTCTTTCCTACCCAGCTAACATGTACTTCTCGCCGTTTGCACAATAGCCGTTTTTCAAGCGCATTTTCGGACGCACTAACGCGTTGAACTCATTAGCATTACTACTAGCTCTTGAAATATAGAGTGGTCTTCCCAACATTGTTGTGAACATTTATGATCCCGTATTGTTTCGTCACGAACAACCACTTTTTTTCATCGCCAGTGACTTCAAGTTTCCAATAAACTATGTGTACTAATCATTGCTAGATATTGTGTAATTTGGTATAATTAGGTGATGTACGCTTGCAAACGAATATCTCTGCATATTGTTAATTAGTTGCATGTCATGTATGTTCTCGCTAACAATTATATAGCGTTATTTTTTATGTTATGTTCTATAACGACTTTAATCGCGATCTTTTGATGTTCCAACTAGTGTAATTTGGGAGGCAGTCTTTGCCCGACTTGGTCTGAAGAACCAGTAGGGTCACGTGGATCGAGCTGGGTGAGCTGAAGTAGCCACTGGTATCCTGGAATGGGGAAACCACCCTTGACATTTGCACCCCCTTATTCTTTTCATAAAAATAATGTTGCATCATCATCATTGTGTAGTGTATACCCACCCCTTCTCACACAATACTCCCGAGGAAGGCTGTGGGGATTTTAAGAATAAAGAAATTAATATTTCGGTATCGCAAATGAGATAAAAAA